ATTCTTTCTTGGTTTTGCTTCAATAAAGCCATATTTAAAAGAACGCTCTGCAATAGTCTGGTGGAAGACTTTGATATATCACATTCTCATCATCAAGATCTACTCACTCATACAATTAATGCAGTTATTTGCTATCTCTGTTATAATAACAAAGATAGTTAACAACAAGTGAAAAATATTTTAGTAAGGGACACTGGCTTGGTAAAATGTCCGTACCAGATGCTGTCAAATAGTTACTATATTTTAAAAGAATGAATCTTTACTCAAAAAAAAAAAAAGTTTTCTCTAATGATACAGAATATTTTAAAACTTTTAACTTCAAAAAAACATAGCAGAATCACAGGTTGCAGAGTACAGAACATGGTAATTCATGTTGTGACACAGTCCACTGTTTGCATCTTAACTTTAGCTTACAGAGTTGAGCAGTGTGATTCTGACTCTGTCTGTCTGAACGACATTTTTAGATTTATATTTTAGTTGTCTTTATTTTGCAACGTGAAAAGCTGCCAACTAGAAAGACTGTTAACTAATTGATTTTGTAGATTCAAAAAAATCAGAGACAAGAGAAACCTTGTTCCATATAAAACCACCAATAACAAAGTCAAGCAATGTTTGCACTAATCTTCGGACTTTCCCAGAAGAAAGTAGGTTTGTGAATAACAGTGTTATGAAGGGATAAAATGCACTATTCTTCAGAAGAACATTCTACAACTTAACAACTGAAACTGTATTTACCTCAACTTCACCTGCTTAAGTATAATTAATATTAATAATAGCAATCACAAAAGAAATAAAATAATGTAGAAGAACAGATTATAAACCTGAAACACCAAACATCGTCTGGTCCTACACTTACCTTCACATGACTTCCTTCTTTATCTGACACAAGAGCTACATATGTAATCCCAGAGCATCTGCAGTATTCCTGCAGTTCTTCCTGGGACTAAAATTTGAACAGGAGAAGGGGGATGGGAAAGAAATTTGACAGGTTATAAAATGACCAGTTAAGTAATCAAAGTCTCCTGTCTTTAAAATAACTTGATATGCAACAGTTACACTGCTTATATGAGCTCCTGAGAGAGAAAACCTTGATTAACAACTCCAGGAGATGAAACTTCATTATGCATATATTTATCCACCTAATGCTCCTTAAAAATTGAAATTTAAGTCTATACTTAGACAAAGAGAAAGTCTAGACCCTGCAGTCCTAGTTCTCACATGGAAGGGCTAGCTCTATCTAGGAGTGCAGGGTCTACATAACTGTAAAAATGTGCAGTGTAACATCAATCAACACTTACCACCCTGCTGGCTGCAGCTTTCAGTAATAGCTCAGTCCTGCATAACTGGTAGTCTGTCACAAAAACTGAAGTCAGCTGGGTTTTCTGTAAAACTGAGGCTGACCGACAACATCCTCAGTGCTGATCTTACTGAAGGGCTTGCTATGCTGACTTACTCAGCACTGGGTTACAGGACATCGTTAGACGGGGGCAAGAACTACCCAAACCTTCATTTCTTATGAATCACCAAAAAAAAAAAAA